TTCTTCCTATTAACGTTGGACCAAAAGAAAACCGACTGATAATTTTCTCATAAAAATATTTTTATACATGTGTAATTACAAAAGTACTATTTTTGAAAAATACTTTTGGGGTCCAATTAGAAGAAGGGAAATTTTGGAATTTGCCTACATAAGCTAGGGTTTTTTGATTGCGATAAATTTGTCCATACCTAGTAGCTCATGTGGAATATAGTTTGGTGGAAGGAAGTTTGTGACCAATCGTGAAAAAAGGTCTCACTTGTAAATCTCTACTTTTAGGAGTTTAATTGTAACGTGTTGATGGACACTATTGCAATTAGTGGAAGTTCTATATTATCTATATAAAAAATAATTAAATAAAAAATTGGATAAATTGTATCCTGCAAATTCAAAATAAAATCTACATATTTTAATTTATCCCCACAACCGAAAGATAGAGATCCCTATGGATCCTACCTACATGCAAACTCTATCATGTATTGTGTATATATCAGACGTATTTGATACAAAAATTAGCCATCAAAATTTTTAAAATCTATAGAAAAATACACACCAAAGTAAAAGCATGAAGGTGCAAGGTGATTCACTTTAACGTCGAGACACTTGGATCGCTTGGTGAGATACTAACAACAACACGCTTGGATTGACTCAAGATAATTTCAGACCTATGAAGAGAAAATAATCAATAAATTTTAACGGGAAAATAATCAATAAATCTTATTTTATTCCCTTTGATAAGACTCAATAGTAATCTTAGGAATAAAATACGATTCATTGATTATTTTCCCTTTAATTTGACAGGACTCAATAGTAATCTTAGGAATAAAATACGATTCATTGATTATTTTCCCTTTAATTTGACAGGACTCAATAGTAATCTTAGGAATAAAATACGATTCATTGATTATTTTCCCTTTAATTTGACAGGACTCAATAGTAATCTTAGGAATAAAATACGATTCATTGATTATTTTCCCTTTAATTTGACAGGACTCAATAGTAATCTTAGGAATAAAATACGATTCATTGATTATTTTCCCTTTAATTTGACAGGACTCAATAGTAATCTTAGGAATAAAATACGATTCATTGATTATTTTCCCTTTAATTTGACAGGACTCAATAGTAATCTTAGGAATAAAATACGATTCATTGATTATTTTCCCTTTAATTTGACAGGACTCAATAGTAATCTTAGGAATAAAATACGATTCATTGATTATTTTCCCTTTAATTTGACAGGACTCAATAGTAATCTTAGGAATAAAATACGATTCATTGATTATTTTCCCTTTAATTTGACAGGACTCAATAGTAATCTTAGGAATAAAATACGATTCATTGATTATTTTCCCTTTAATTTGACAGGACTCAATAGTAATCTTAGGAATAAAATACGATTCATTGATTATTTTCCCTTTAATTTGACAGGACTCAATAGTAATCTTAGGAATAAAATACGATTCATTGATTATTTTCCCTTTAATTTGACAGGACTCAATAGTAATCTTAGGAATAAAATACGATTCATTGATTATTTTCCCTTTAATTTGACAGGACTCAATAGTAATCTTAGGAATAAAATACGATTCATTGATTATTTTCCCTTTAATTTGACAGGACTCAATAGTAATCTTAGGAATAAAATACGATTCATTGATTATTTTCCCTTTAATTTGACAGGACTCAATAGTAATCTTAGGAATAAAATAAGATTTTTTGAAATAAGTTTATCCAGGATCGACTCGAGATAATTTCAAACCTATGAAGCACAGGTACAAAAGTTCGGGTGTAAAATTGATATTAATCGACGTCTGGGGGTAAAATTGAAAAATGTGTGAAAGTTTGGGGGCAAAATGATATTTCCTCAATAGGTTACCCTACCAATGTCCTTGTATGATTGTATGTTATGTTTAATTGTATATGTTATGTGTTTTATGTTATATTCTACGTTAGTCTATATTAGCCTAAATATCATTAACCCTTGTATTGTGTCTTTAGGAAGGATAGTGAAATGTAAAAATGGAAAAGAAGTTGAATCTTTGGCAGAACGATTAGACAAAATAGAAGAAGTGCTTAGGGAGGTAATGGAAGCTATGCAGCAATGCTACGATAAATTGCAAGATCAAAAGAGGAAGTTAGGCATGATGACAAGGAAGGAACCACAGAGTATGTCTAAGAATTTTGTGGTAAGAGAGGCAAGTAATTCTAAGTAAGGTGGTAGAAAGAGTAGGTCTGCCCCAATATGTTCAACGTGTTTCAAGCCTCATAGGGGGTCGTGTCATTGGCTTACTGGAGCATGTTTTAGATAGGGAGAAATAGAGCATCAAGTGAAGAATTGTCCAAAGACTTAAGGATATCTCAAGTTATTCAATCACTTTAAAGGTTAGTACTTAATAAAGAGATCAATGGTTAGTACTTAATGAAGAGATCAATGGGAACATGTTAAGAACATGCAAGAAGTCTTAAGTTAGAAATTGAATATATATGTCTTCATTTGTATTTGTCTTATAAATTCAGGATCCATTTACTTGGCCATTTGAAACGTGACCCGAAATTGCTAGAATTGGTACTATATGACTAAGATTTAAACCAATGAAACTAAGCCTATTTAATGTTAGAATGAGAACAATTTAATTTATTAAGACCACATTGTCAACATTTTGACCTCTCAAAAAGGAAGACATGGTATTTTTCGTATATGAACGATTATCAGACGCAAAATGATAATTGAGGCTTTTGCTTTTGTTTATGTTTTGTCAAGTATATTAAGTCTGATTATCTCATGTACTTTTGTGGACATGTTTGTGTAAGATAAGAGTTAAACACCACTTTGGTAGAATTACACTCGTATCACACCCTCTTTGAAATGTGGAAATCTCAATTGACTAAATACAAAACAGAAGTTTAGCCTCAAGACTAATTTAATAATAGTTTTATTGTCATTTGATAATTGAAAAGAGTTATGTACATATAAGAATTTGAATATCGATTTGCTCAATTAGAAACGATAATGTGGATTATTTAAGAATGACATCAACAACTAAAAGGAGGGAAGGTTGATGATGAAAGTATGAATTAGTTTCAACAATCATTTGGTATAAGAAAGATTGTCAAAATAGTAAATTTTGATTTAACAAAAGTATACTAGCTCGTAAAATTGTAATTAGGACAAAGGAATCAGACATTGTGAAAGATTTGAAATTGAAAGCAAAGATCCAACCAAAGATTAAGAAAGAAAAATTAAAGAAGGAAGTTTGAGATGTAAGGCGAAGATCATGGTCTAGACCCAAAAAGAATAGTAGGAAATAATTATATTAGAGTGCGCAACGGAAACAAAAAGAACAGTACCATAAATCAATTTTGAGGATGAAATTTTAAAATGAAGGAAGACGCAGAAGATCACCAAGGTTGACTGGTTCAAGTCGCGTTAGTGGAGCTTCTATAAATCAACAACAAAGTCACGTAATCCTAGATGAATGGTTTTAAAGTTTTAGAATAACAAAAAAGGGCCCCATACTCTTCTTTCTTCACCCTTATTCAATTCTATCTCTTTCTCCTTGCAAATAAAATATTATTTATTTTCTAATTTTGAATTGCTAGTGGATTACTTCAATTTGAGGTCAAAATCTTTCCTAGCAACTTTTGAGCCCGTCCAAGAATTTAGAATAACAAAAAAGGGCCCCATACTCACATATACGACATAATTGTTACCTTCGTCTACCTCATGATCATATATCGGCTTTGGTAACACCAAAATTAAAAAAAAACTTCACTGAGACTCACCTCGATACTCGCCTCGCCCTGAGGCTAAGGTAAAAACGCATCAAGGCTTTGATTTTAGGCTATACTCCCTAAAAGCTTGCGCATGACAGTCTAAGGCACGCGCTGTAGGTGCACCTTGTGCATAAGCATATGAGTCGTATATGCATATGAAGAGGCTGCCTTAGGCTCTTATTAAACTTAGTCTAGAAGATGGTTTAAATATAAAAAACAAAAAATAAGAAAGAATCCTTCTTGCAACTATGTTCTATAGAAAAAATTAAGTAAATGACCAATCAAGAAAAAACACAAAGTTAATGTTCAAGTGAGAGGCCCAATTACTGAAGTTAAGAATATCAATTTCACTTTCAAAGAAGGCAAGCTTCATTCTTTGCATTGAAATATTCAACGCGTTAAGGAAAAAAGTATTTACAGCCTCATATTTAATTTTTACTATTTTAAAATATTTAATTTATTTACTAAATATTATCATTTAAAATTTGAAACTCCTACACCTCGATGCCTTAAAACTTACGCCTCACCTCATGAGTGGTAAAACACCTCAAGTTATGCATTCACCTCTAAAAACTTTAGGTAACACTACTCTACAAGATCAAGGACATAAGGGAGATCACTTTAAATTTAATGATGTAAAGATTATCATGATAATATGACAATCTTTATCAAACCTTCAGTTGCAAAATTCAAACAGACAACTTCTACAACAAGAGGCAATTAATGCAACTTGGTATGGCAAGCATTCAACCTAGAATAGATTAAACTTCATGTGAACTAAAAGAAGACAACATAGCCTTTAAACTTGATGCTTAGCACCTAAGATTGCTGAAAGCATTTTATTTATGAAAGTTCCTAGTGTCAAATGTATCTATATTTTGTATTGTTGTACCTTTCATTTTTTTCAGTAAAGTGTTGAGGCTTCAAGTAAATGGGGATCCTAATTTGTCAACATAATTAATAGGAAAACTTCTAAAAGGTTCCTGGTTACTTTCTCAGCCGCAGAAAAGCTATGAATAGGCCTCACCAAAACAAAATAAGATCAATCCCTGATAAATAAATTCAAGTTGAAAGAATCGAAAGGGATTTTTCACTTGGCCTATTATTCAAGACATATACTAAAATTCTAAAACTTAAGCATTAACAAATTGGAGGGTATAAGCTGTTCTACTGAAAAAAACAACATGTACATAAACAACTTTGTATATTTTCCAAACCTCCCATACCTCAAGATGCTGAGCAGCTTCACCAGTCAAAGCAACAGTGGCTGTAGCCAGTCCAATCAATCCTCCCTTAAAATAAATAGAAATCAAGATTCAAAATAAATACGAAAGCCATGGAAATTCATACCCTTGAAAGGCATGTACCATATACACTTTAGATATGCCATTTTTGTGTTAAAAGTTATTCCTTGTGACATTATTTTAGTTATAACTCATAAGTTTTTTGGTTATGACATATTTTTTTAAGATAGGACTCAGAAAGTATCTTGCATATGCTACACACCCTTTCAGGGGTGGCTACCATAGTGTTTCCCCAAAACCATAGAACACCACTATATATATATATATAAAAACCCTAGTTTTCAAACCTGGCTACTTACTTTCCGGTGATTCACCTGTGCCGAGTACGTGAACTCATTGGCCAACAAATTTATCACGGCCGTAATCTTATCATGCTCTCCCGCCGCCGCTAGCTGCTTCACGATTCCTTCAATCTGCACAATCATCAAACATTCATTCACCCAAAATCAAACCACCAAAAACCTTAGAACGATGATCAACTCAAAAATTGAGACACAAAAGAGATAGAAAATTCTAGTGAGTGCAAAAAGAGTACTTCTAGAGCAGCATTCTTCCGCTTCTCGTAAAGTTTGTCGGAGAGGTTTCGGAGAACGGCGGGAGGAATCACAGAGAGCGCGTCGGCCATAAAATAAAAAAACCCTAGAATCGTTTCAATCGATTGAAAATAGAAATCAAAGTTGTCGTCGTTTTCTGAACTCATTGGCCAACAAATTTATCACGGCCGTAATCTTATCATGCTCTCCCGCCGCCGCTAGCTGCTTCATGATTCCTTCAATCTGCACAATCATCAAACATTCATTCACCCAAAATCAAACCACCAAAAACCTTAGAACGATGATCAACTCAAAAATTGAGACACAAAAGAGATAGACTTTCCGAGAAAATTTCGTTGTTCGCACTCGCCGTGGCCGTGTTCTTAGCGGTTAAACGTCTCGGCCAGCGTGCGCTTTTAATGTTTGGAGCCACAGACAGAGACACAGAAATTGCTGAGAGTTGTGGGTGTCTATTTATACAGCAGGTCACAAGGCACATCACTTAATTAAGAGCGCTGTTATTAATACTTATTAAATTTTTTTGGGTCACTTATATATTTGGATCCTAACCCTAAATCTTAAATTTTAATAATATTTTTTTTTAACACTTCACTTATTATCAAATCTATCTATTTTTATAATATTTTCATAATCAAACACAAACCTACTTAATTTTTCATACCTCTTATTTCTTGACCGTCGATCTATTGTATTTATCTTCTTCACACCGATTAAATCCATTTTGCTGTTGAAGTACTTGGGACATTACTTTACCCTTTTTTTTTTTTTTTTTTTTTTTTTTTTTTTTTTTTTTCTTGCAAGTGCTTCAACACTTTAGAATCAAGTGCTGCTGCAATTTTTTGAAAATTCAACACTTTTGAATCATAACCACACAAAGGTACGATTTACTTCTTTTTCTTACAAGTGCTGTAAACTTTTTCATCTACCATCAAAGGTATAATTTACTTCTCTTTTCTCTTCAATTAATCATCACCACACAAACAAAAAACCCTTTACCAACCAAAACCACAACCACACAAAACCCTAATTGTGAGAGAATATTATAATGTAATGGATGGCCCGATTCCACATAAAATTCAATTTTTTTTGAGAATAGAGGTTTGAATATTATAATCTATTGGATGGCTTGAATATTATAATGTAATAGAAGTTTACATACCAACTAGAAATAAAATTAAATATATATATATATTAGAACCCTTTGTCTTGTAGAAAATATGTTTGGTTGATCCTTTGTCTTGGAGTGTTAGGTATTTTGATTGTGTTTTCTTTGTGCATAAAGAAAACAAAATTTGTTTGGCTGTTCCTTTGTCTTGGAGTGTTGGGACCAGTTGCTTTTTTAAGTGTGAGGTTTTTATGTCTGTACTGCACATATAGTATAAAATTGTCGCTTTTCTGTTGCTGTAAGGCATTGTCATTGCCATTGGTTTTGTCCCTTTTATGTCTGTATTGCACATATAGTATAAAACTTATATCTGAATTTTCTGCACAAAAAAAAGGGGAGGGGGGGAAAGAGGAGGCAAACAGGGCAACAACTAGCCAGATTATTTAATTTACATTTTTAGCTTCTTTTCCATGTATGTTCATACATCAAGTTATGGCCATATTATCACACAACACTTGTACTAGTTGTCTTCCACATAAACTAACTCTAATTAGCACAATACACATCATAAACCTAACAAGAGGTAGGTGGGCTGTTTGAAAACAGTGCTAATTTTAACACATTATATCAACTTGGAGATGCATGTGATTATATTGCAACTATAGGCTTTGGGCCAATGTTGAATTTTCTTGAAGTATTTATAATCAATCCGAAATGTCCTAAGAAGCAAAACGCGCGGCTTTTGCTATGTACTAAGCCTTTTTTGTTTTTAATACCAAATTCCATTGTTTAGGCTCTCAAATTTTTGCATATTTTTGGAAAGTTTTGTTTTTGTCTATAATTTTATTTAGGATTTTTTTTTTTGATGGCCTTGCTCTTGGCATGCTTCTAATGCATTACAATTCTCAAATTTTGGTCCAACTCAAATATCTTATTTTTAGTAGTTTCTTTTTATCGTTTATTCATTTTGTGTTTGGTAAGAAACTATCTTAGTTTGTTATTTCCTATTTGAATTGGTCACGACACACCTATTTAAAATAGGCTTCAATGGCTTATAAGTTATATATATAATGTCCCTAGATGACATGCAATTTCGATACATAGGAAGGACTAACTATATTATTAAGGGTAATTGACATTTGATATATTTACTTACATTGTCATTGACTAACATCTAATTGTACTTGGTGGGTGGAAACTGCTCGAGATCGCCCAACAGCGTCTAGGAGACATAATGTTGTACTTTCTCAAAAAGTGGCTAAAAGACTCGACGCACTCGTAAGACTAAGGATCAAGGTAGTGGAGTTAATGAACATGACATGAATGACATAGGTGCTGCTCTAACAAACACGGTTGAGGTTGAAAACGATGGGGGCAATCAATTGAATGTGAGTGACATGGGTGATGATTTGGGTGATGAACCAATAGATATGGGTTATGAACCAACAGACATGGGTGACTATGAAGACCAACCAGCAGATACAACTGAAAAAGTTAATGAAGATCTTACTAGACCTTTTCCTGGAGGGCCATATGACCCTTCAATTTTGAAGAGTTTTCATTGTCACGTAACAGCCAAAATTTGGCATAATGATGTACGTCATTGTCTTACATTAATTTAATATTTTAAATTTTGTTTCAACTTTACTAATTCTTTTTTTTTTTCTTTTTTTTATTCTATGTTGCAGGAACGTGGAATACGTAAATGCTTAAATCATGGTTTTAAAGTTAGTGAATGGTCATTCAACTTGGAAGAGAATAAACAGTCCAAATTTCATGGTTTAATTATGGATTCGGGGTTGATTTCTTTAGTGAGTTGCTCATATAAATTTGTAAATAAAGTTATAGTTTCGGCCTTTGTAGAAAGATGGCAGCCAGAGACAAACACGTTTCATCTACCATTTGGTAAGATGTCACCAACCTTAGATGATGTTAGTGTAATTTTAGGGATTCTAGTGATTGGTAAACCAGTCTCTTGCAAGAATTTATCAAATGTTGACGCTGCAAATCTGCTAGTTGAGGCTTTGGAAGTAACAATAGATGAGGCAAATGTAGCGTTGAAGGTAGCACGGGGCCAGTCTATCAAGGCAGAATGGTTGAGACAACGGTTTGGGTCAGTGTCTGATGCAGACAATGATAATATCATTGAGTGTACAGCTAGGGCATGTTTGTTATATTTGTTAGGTTGTACCTTATTTGCAGACAAGACAGGCATACGTGTTTCGGTAGTGTATTTGTCTTTTCTTATGGATTTGCAATCAGTTGCTTCTTATGCTTGGGGTGCAGCCGCATTAGCTCTTTTATACCGGCAATTGGGCACTGCCACAAGGTATGCTATAAAACAGATGGCGGGATACATGACATTGCTAGAAGCTTGGATTTACAAGCATTTTGTTGGTGCTAGACCCCACCCCAATTTGGACTATAAAGAAGATCAACCTTGTGTCGTTCATTGGATTTCTCGTACCTAATCTGGTTCGTCAACGTCTATTTTACAAAGGTTGCGAGAAGACCTCGACAGATTAGAGGCCCATGACGTAAGTCTCAATCTTATGTCAATGTATGTACATATTACTTGCTATTATTCAATCTAATTCATAACTTACATATAAAATTTTTACTATTGTAGGTTATTTGGGATCCATACCATGATAAGCATATTAAGCATCCTTTTCTGATGTTGCTTACTATAATGGATGCTTAAAATGGATGCACATTGTTGAACCATACCATCCAGATAGGGTACTAAGACAATTTGGTAGGATGCAAATTATTCCCTCACCTCCGCTTGCTCAGGTTCAAGCCTCTAGAGGATCCACTACAAAATAGTACAACATTGCCTATAAATACTTGGATACGATTTGGGAGAGTTGGGAAAATCACTTGTTGTCTGAGACAATGCGTAGTGTTCTAGTCTGGCATCCATGGGGTTGTATGCCAGGTTACTTGGACTGGTTTACTTCCATTTCACACGTACAAGTTCAAAACCCGACACATCGTTCTAAGTATAATCCATGCTTTGAGGCATCAGCTGATTATCGTCAACTTCAATTCGTATGTCAACTTTTACCATTTTCATTTTTGTATATATTTTGTTTAAGGCAATCGTTAAGTTTTATTTTATTGTTTGCAGCGCATTGATAGTGCCTTGAGCATTTCATGTTCAATGCTCGAAATCGGATACAATGAAGCAGCTCCAACCTGAGATATGTTACGCAATGCTATGAAGAAGATAACACAAGTCTTGGAGGGCCAACAATCCACTGAAGAACATACACCATCAGAGAACTTGGTGTACACTCGTCGCAGGAATCGTGGAGCAACGTCTTAGACTTTAGTAGTTGTTGGGTTCAAATGTTTTAAATGTGTATTTTGAAATCTTAGTCTCAAACATTTGTTAGACTTTTTGATGGTGTTAGACACAAGTATAACAAAGGTCAGATGACACTTTAGTATATGTTAGTTTGTCTGAGAAAATTTTTTGGCATACATTTTGATGGTGGTTTGTATATGACACAAGTATGAGCTAGGCTTGTATATGA